CGCTGGGCGGCCCGCGTGGCCAGGCAACGCCAGCCCTGAGGCAGGCAGGAACCGCCCCGGGAGCTGGGGGTCCTGTCCGCAGCCCAGGTCTCTCAACAGCCCTGCGGGAGGTCCCTGTGCCAGCCCAGGGTCTCTCACCTCCGATGTCCAGCATGGTCTCGTCCCCGCAGTGCAGCACCTGGAGCACAGGCGGCACCTTCTGCTTCGCCTCCAGGAGCAGGGCCTTCAGGTCCATCAGCACCGACTCATCTGGGGGCAGAGACATGGATCAGACGCAGCCCGAGCAGGGAGGGGGGGTGCTGCCTCGCACCACCATCTCCCCTCCACGGGCCATCGTGACTCGTCCCTGCTTGCTCAGGAACAACCCCCTTGCCAAGGTGGAGGCAGCTCCATCGCCCAGCTGCCTCCTACAACCGCAGCCCTCCCCGGGCAGCCCCCAGCCCCACGCTGTTTCTCACCACAGGCCTTGTTGATGAAGGTGGTGGCAATGCCAGTGTTGCCCGAACGGCCTGTACGCCCGATACGGTGAACTGTGGAGAAAGAGACAGGATCAGGCACGGGTGAATGTGATGTGACAGACCATCCCTGACCCCAGTCACTGCAGAGACAAGCGCACAGCCTTGCTGGCCTCTGCACCCACCCTGCCGCGCCCTCGTTGGTCCCCCACGGGGCCCAGTCCCCACCATAGTTCTCAATCTCCTCCGGCATGTCGTAGTTGATGACATGCTGGATGGCTGGGAAGTCCAGGCCCTTGGAAGCGACGTCAGTGGCAACAAGGACATCCTTCTTCCCATCCCGGAAGGCCTCAATGGCTTTTGTCCGTTCCTCCTGATCTGCAAAGGCCCAGCAGAGAAGATCAGCAAGGGCGGAGTTCCCAGTCCTACCCCTTGCGGCAACCACTATGGCCTCAGAGCCAAGCATCACTCAACCGGGGCTCCCCCAGTGAGAGGACCTACGCAGCCTTTCCCCAAATAAAGAGGCAGAGGGACCTCTAGGTCCCATAGGGACTTGCACTGCATTTATGCCTGCTACATACAACGTGGCGTTTGCTCCTGACACTGCGACAGCCCTCCCTCACGCCATCGCAAACTGCTGCACGCTGGGACCTCCCGTGGCCACGTACCACCCCGGCAGGAGCGGGGTCAGGCAGGGCCACACCGCGGCCCAGGCCTCCCCGATATCCTCACTGACCTTTCCCTCCATGGATAGCCACAGCTTCCACACCCTTGAGCAGCAGGTACTCATGGATCGCATCGACATCCGCCTTCTTCTCTGCAAAGATCAGCACCTGCGGCAGCACAGACATCATGGAAGAGCCACCTTTCTGCGGGCTGGCACTGCTGGTACCAGCATAACCCCCCGGGAGACCCGTTCCCTCTTGCTGAGCAGAAAACACAACAGCTCTGGGCCCAGGACCTGCTCATACGTGGAGCACGGCTCACCCACGCACCTACCCCACCACCCATGGCAGAGCCCTGCAGCGTCACGGTCGCGGCCCCATTGCCAGCTCCACCGGTGCCCCGGGGCTGCGGTGTGCCCGTGCTGCCCCCAGCAATGCTGCCGGAGCAGCAGGAGCACACTACTCACAGGTGGCGGGGTCTTCTGCAGGCACTCAAGGAGGTACACCATCTTGGCCTCCTCTTTCACGTACTCCACTTCCTAGGAACAAGGGGAGAGATGAGGCAGGCAGGCAGGCAGCAGAGAAACTGCCATTGCTTGGTATGCCTCTTGGGAAGGAGGGCCATGAACCCCAGCTCCCTGACAAGGGATGCATCAAGTGCCCTCACGAACGGTGCTGGCCTCCCACACAGGCATGGGGGAGCTCCCAACTACCTCACCTGCACAACATCCAGGCTGGCAGCACCCGCTCGCCCAACGTTAATGGTGATGGGCTTCACCAGGGCACTCTTGGCAAAGTTCTGGATCTTCTTGGGCATTGTGGCACTGAAGAGGAGGGTCTGTCGCTGACCCTGCGCAGGGAACATAGTGCGGGCAAGGATTTAGCACTCACCCAACCAGGTGGGTGCAGGGACTGAGCATCAGGGTGCTCGTATCATGCCAGCTCAGTACCTTGAAGTAGGAGAAGATGGTACGGATGTCCCCCTCAAAGCCCATATCGATCATCCTGTCAGCCTCATCCAAGGCCAAGTAACGGCAGATGTCCAGGCTCACCATCTTCTTCTGCAGCAGGTCCATCAGGCGGCCAGGGGTTGCCACCATCATGTGTACACCACTGTGGGACGAGAGAAGGCCACGGTCAGGGACTCGGATTCCTGCCCCACGCAGCGACACATAGGGAAGGTAACACCTGCTTGGCACATCACCTTCGCCCCCACGCCTTCCTGAAGCCAGCCAGCCAGGGTGCCGCCCCTTAGTCCCCTGCCAGAAAACGGAGCACGGCTCCAGCCCCACAACCCCCCCCCGAAGGTCTTACTGTTTGATTGTCTCCATCTGCTCCTTGACAGACATGCCCCCGATGCAGAGGGCGCAGCGCAGCGGGGGCAGGCCGTCCTCCTGCAGCAGGCGGCAGTAGTACTCAATGATGCCGTGGGTCTGCCGGGCCAGCTCCCGCTGCAGAGAGAAAACTTACTCATCCCTACACCGCCGTGCAGGGAGGATCTGGGATTGCCACTGAATACCAATCAAAGCTTCCTCCCGCCCGTCACCATGCCCCCGACGCTCACCGAGGGACAGATGATGAGTCCGTAGGGTCCCTCTCGCTTGGAAAATGGCAGCCTCTTCTCCTGCTCCAGGCAGAACATGATCACCGGGAGGGTGAACACCAAGGTCTTCCCAGAGCCAGTGAATGCAATGCCAATCATGTCCCTTCCCGAGAGACTGGCAGAGAAACGGGGCTGATGGTGAGGGGGAGCAGAACGGCTCAGACCTCCAGGGCTGAGCAAGGTGACGGGGCGCATCTGTCACCAGCAAAGAGCACCCGGTACACACCGCTGGGTGGGCTGTAGGGAGCAACTGCTCCCCACTCCGGGAAAGGGACAGAGCACTCACATCGTGGGGATGCCTTGGATCTGTATGGGTGTTGGCTGCTGGATTCCTTTTTTCTTCAGGCCCCTCAGAATAGCTGTCAGAGAACAAGGGACACACACATTCACGACCCGAAGTCTTCTCCCTCTTTCCCGCCTACTCACGTCCCAGCTGCAGCTCCTCCACCAGTGACAAACACCCCTTGGGCCAGCAGCTAGGTGACACAGCCACTGTTGGGAATTTAAGCTGCAACCCCGCTAACACTAAGCGTGAAAGATCCGACGGTTTTGCTCGCTGACGCGCGTTTCCCAGCAGAACGCTGTCCCCACCCTGCCAGGCTCCTCTCCCGGCCCACCTGCTGGGAACTTCATCTCCTTGAAGCTCTTGATGGGGGGCGGGATGCCCTCCCCCTCCACCAGGATGTGGTACTTCTTGCGCACGCGATCGTGCCGCGCCTCCGACATGCCCAGGATGTAACGAGGTGCTCTCCAGCTGCGAAGGCAACAGAGAAAGGTCGTGGTGCAGAATGAGGCTGGGGCTGAGAGGCAGCAGCCCCCACGGAGGCCCATGGGAACTCCCTGTCGGGCTCCAATATCCCACCAGGGAAAACAGGTAACTCCAAGGGGCTTCATGGTGTGAGCACGGGAGCAGATCCACACCAGCTCCAGCATTGCATGTTTCCCCAAAGTCTCAGTAAGCACTCCCAAGCTAACAGCTGAGAACAGCCCATGGATGGTGGACGGGACGTGCCAAAAATCTTTTGGATGCATCTCGATCATCTCTCTGACACTGCCTCGAGCAGCACTGGCTCCGTAGGCTCCCCCAGTCTCTTTCTCTAGCTTAGTCACCTCCAAGATCTGAAGATCCCCCCCAAGTCTTCGAGTTCAATGTAAACGTACTCTAGAAAATCTTAACTGTATATAAAATAATGTTCAAGGCGACTCAACAGCCTTCAATCTTATGTACAGCAGTAAGAAGCCAGGCAGTGGAGCAAGAGAGAAGGCAGTGGCCGCAGAGCAGCGCTCCTCCCGCGAGGCTGCACGGCTTCTGGTTCTCTTCAGCTGCGAGGAAGCAATGTGTTCCGGAAGACAACCTCTGTGCTGTGAAACACACCTGGTTTTAATCGGATCATCGTAGGTGATGCCCTTTGCCATCTCCTTCACTGACATCAAAGCTGCAAGAACAAAGCCGACGAGATCAGTGCAAGCTCTCCATCCCCACGTGCACTTAACCTCAGCAGAGAACCACTCGGGCAAACAGCGTGGGAGACCGTGCCCGGAGACAGAGGAGGAAAAGCAGCACCCCTGACAGCCCCTCTGGGTACAGGAACACCAAATGCTGCAGCCTGCCATGCCTAGGGGCCCACCACAGCACCGCCTCAGCTAAGCCAGGCAGCTGGATGCTGACTGAAGGATCCTGTTGTGATCTCCTGTCCCATCCCAGGTACAAACATCCCTGAGTGCTGCCAGGCAGTTAACACCCCTGCTGCTGCCCTGACAGCTCTGGAGACAGGTCTGAGAGACTCGGAGCTCCCACCACTCACCTCGGCCCTCTGCCACGCTCTCCAGGATCTTCTCTTCCTCTTTCAGCTGCTTCTCCTTGGCTGACTCCTTCCGAGCTGGGGGAAGAGTCAGGGGCACGGTGAGGAGGTTTCAGTCCCCCCCAAAAGCCGCCCGGCCCTACCGCCAGCCGCTCCCCTACCTTCCGCCTTCTCTTTGAGGTGCTGGTGCTGGTCCAGGAGACTGATGTTGGACTGGGGCCCCAGGGGGATGTCATCCTCGTCACCCCGCTGCTCGCTCCCGCTGTCCCGCTGCTCCTCCTCCGACACCACCTTCCGCCGCATCTGCAGCAGCTTCTGCAGCTGGGAGGAAACGGGTGGAGGTGGAGTGAGAGGCCCCGCGTCCGGAGGGACGTTCAGACCCCTCCCCCGGCAGCGCCGGGCCCCGTCACTCCGTTACCATCTGCTGCTTGCGCTGCTTGACGGGCACGTAGGGCACATAGTCGTCATCTTCCTCCCCGGACAGGTCGGACGTCTCCGCCGCCTCCTCCCGCTGCCTCTGTGGGGAGACGCAGGGTTGAGGCCGGCCCGGGACGGTGCCGGCCCCGCCCGGCACCCCAGGGCTGTCGGTACCGGCCAGGCTGGGCCCGGCCCTACCTTCCTGTC